GCGACGCGGTGGAGGCGCGACGCAGCGGCGTGGCAGATGTGCCACCGGTTGTGATTGTCTTGCCGCGATGATTGATGATCTCCCGACGTCGCGCAGGGTTGCTACTTACGACATACAAATAATCAAATTCAAATAATATTTATATTAAATAAATGTTTGAAACAAGTAAATGTTATTCTCCATGTTAAGCTGTAAATTAAAATTACACAACGTTTCTGAGAAATAAATGGTTGGTAAAACTCTAAACCGTCAATTGATGGATAAAATGCTATAGTAATTCAAAATCTGTCCAATGTACCGTAATTATAAAATATATTTAAATGTATCCAAACAATTTACCTAAATACTAGATCTATAGTTCGATTGTATTTGTAAAAAAAATTGTAATCTCATTATAGTTAAGAAAAAACAATCATAAAATGGAACAGTTACGAGACTATTGTTTAATTTTGTTGTTTACATTCATTACTTCACAAACACGTTTTCTTTACCTATGAACAATGAAACTGACCTGCGTAAACAAATTAAACTGGTAAACAAAGTAATTAGGATGTCAACTGTTTAGTAGATAGTTATTTTGCCATTTTATGTACTCCTACATTCGAGTTAAATCCGGCAGAAGAATTTAGGGATAATCCCCTTGCCCCAAGTTGATTGACAGCTTCTTGTTGCACCCTTCTCTATACAAATGTTAACTCCGCCTACAAAAATATAATGCCGGAAAAGTATTACGATTTTTTTAGTCGATCTGCGATCTATATATTTAAAAAAACATTTATAGTTTTTGGTTAAAAATTGGGATTTTAAATTATAAATCTAACAGTATTACAAATGGTTATTGATTTATTTTTTATTTTATGTGAAAATAATTAAATGACGATGTTTAGTACAATTAGTTATGTTTTTGATTTAATATTTATGATTCTCGTTAGTGACAACCCTGCGCCACTATTCAACTCACGTTTATTCAATATAAGCAAACTGAAGCATAGGCCACGGTAAAAGTTCTTTGCCCAAATATTCCACATTCGTCAACAGTTGCTCCGGCAATGATTTCTGTATATTTATGAGCTCTTTATATTACTAAAGTATGTAACATATTTCAACTTAAGTTCCTGCAATTTCATTTAATAAAGATACAGAAGAGTTGTAGCAAATGTGCATTTTTTCAATGTTTTGTTTATTTTATTACTTTTATAAAATCTACTACATTAATTACTAATTGAATTATAAAATTTGGAAGTTACTTTCATTGGGCGATAATGCATAATAGGAATGTAAAAAGCATTTAAAATAAAATTGTGTATATAAATAAAAATTAAAATATAAATTTGAAAGCGCCATCTACCATTCACTTGGTCAACTACGTGCGCTTAAACGTTAAGTTACGGACAGATTTATGACGTATCCCAAAGTTACGTCAATTACTTTTTTTACACGATTGTATCTTCAGATGTCATTTTTTTACGTAATAGAATGATAATAAAAAAAATGAATTAAGGAATAAGTATAATTTCTAAATTCAATGTTGTTCTTTTACGAACACGAATCACGTAGCGGTTTGCATTAGGGGAAACTTTTCGTAGATTCCGTGCACAGCCTTTATAGTTTAACTCACTGATGATAGATGGCGTTTAATAATTTTGGTCAAGTAATTAAATTTTTATACTATTAATATTAATTGCAATGAATTTATTGCTTCTTAGAGAGACAAAAAAAATATCAAGAAATAACAACCACAAAAAGGCACCAAATGTTCTGGATCTTAACATACGAATTAACGTATATCAAAATAAATTAAAGTTTATAAACGTAAACAGTCTAAGCATCTTTTATTTAATTTGAAAAGTAATGAAGGAATCGAGGTGTCATCAACTTATGATATTTAAATATTCATTAGATTAATGATAAAATGACCTATAAACTAAAAGTCTATGCCATTTGTTATTTAGTGCGATGGTATTTCTCCTCGACACTACTTCTAGGTAATAAGATAGTTTTGTTATATAAAATGTAACCGCAACTCCCTTTCATCATGTTAAAAACACGAAGTCCTCAAAAATTGTGAAATCATGTAGAACCATAAAGCAAACCCCCAACGTGTAATATTTAAGACATATTTATGTGTGTGTATGATGATCCTAATACGAAATTCTATATTTTAAAACTACTTAGAAACAACGTTAGTAATATAAAGGAATTTAAAGATAAAACTTAACTTTGTGTGTAACTGGCAGAACTATTCAAATATGTACGTCAAAAACAGTTTTTCGAGTTTGTAAATTAAGAATTCATCAAAACAGTGATATATAAAAAAAACTAATAATATATTAAAAATTAAAACTTTGTTGTTTTGATTATCCAGATGCAAAATATTAATGTGTCAACATGGATTACGATTCCTGCGATTCATAAACAACCTAATTATGCTGTTTAGTCACCGAGCTCTCCTTCATTCGACTATTAATTAGTTGATCATAGAAAAAAGGAGTATAAAATCGCACCCCAATTAGCGAAACATTTATTTACACTCTGGCTTTCGCCGTGAACGTTTCATTAGTAACTTAAGTAACTAAATTTGTGTTACCTTCACGATGTCGGTATCGTCAACAGTGACCGGTCAGTCGTCCCCGCTGACGACGCGGCTGTACGCGCCCACCCCGAACACCAGTGACTACCAGTGGACCCAGGATAATGTTGTTCTTACTACAACGGTAATTGTTTTATATTAACCCTAATTTAATTTAAAATCTATACTGTGAGATTTTGAATCTGAATCTATGATCAAGTTGCAAAATCCCGAATTAGTGTCAATACTTGTAAAATATTGCTGATAGTAGGACTCTCGTGATCTTCAGTAATTTATTTATTATTAAAATCAATAATAGTATAATAGTATCAATAATCAATAATAGTAGAATAGTACATACTAGATAAAGTTTGATAAATTATTAACATGATTACTATTTTTTCAGAATGCGCAATGGAGTGAAGCCCCGCCCCCAGAATATAAAGTGTATCCGATGGCCAACTTCAATGATGCCAACGGTGGTCTAATGAACTCAAAGATGAACATTGTCTCGTCTACATCTTATTACAACGGGCAAGACATCACCAATACGTTATTACCATCTTGCCAAAGAGATGTAATAAACTCAAACGGAATATGCGGCAATAACTTGATAAGACCTCCTTTACCAGGCGTTATGAATACACCAATAATGGTACCCTATCAGAGGACTGGCCCCAGTATTCCGCAACGTAATTGGAACTCTCATGGGAACACTGAGAGGTACAACCGGCCTGTATGGGTACCACCGAAAGCGTCAAACGGAGTAAAGAAGCATAAACGTGTACGAACAGCTTTCACAAGTCATCAAATGATGGAACTTGAACAGGAATATGCGCGCACCAGATATTTAGACCGGGCTCGTCGTATTGAACTTGCGGAAACTTTATTATTAAACGAACGGACGATAAAAATCTGGTTCCAGAACCGGAGAATGAAAGAGAAGAAGGATAGAGCTGAGAATTACGACGATTCAGAGGAACCGAGTACTACAGATTCTTCGCCGGAAATGATCACTAAAGTCATGCCAGTACAAACGCATGAGAACTACTCAATGCAATGTAATGCTCCTAATGGCGTTTACCATCAAGGCTCTAATTATTTCGTTGAACAATATCCATCAACTCCTACTACTATTATGCCTCAATTGCCTATGTATCAAATCAATATGCCACAAGAACCTCAGCATATCATGCAAGAAGGCTATAACAGTGTTTTAGACAGTAATATGGATGTTGGATTAAAATTTGATCCACTCGCGGCGAATTTATTGAAAACAGAATCGTTTGAGCCGTGCGAATCTAACGAGACTTATTCACTGGACGGGTCTCCGGCGCACTCAGATATATCTGCCATTGACTCCGTTAAAAGTGACATCAACGATCAAAATTGGGATTTGTCGTGGATTAGAAGCATTAATTTCCAAGATGAAGCTTAAACACCTGTTATATACACACTGCTGTTATTCCTCAAACGTTTTAGTTATGTAATTTTATTTTAAGTTTAATAAGATTTAATTTAATATAAATTTAAAAATGTAAAAGATATATTTGTAATATAGATAATATGTGACTGATTTAATTATAAAGTTTGTGTAAATATAGTTAGTTTAAATACTTTAAGAATTACTTACTTATTTTGCTTATTAAATTATAAAACTTTAATTTGATAATTTTATTATTATTCAATAATTTTAATTAGAGTAAACTATTTCATTACTGTTCCCGTGCGACTTCATCCGCATAACATTATGAAAATTTTAATTTTATTGTTTACATGTGTCAAAATATGAATTGCAAATGTCAAAATGACATGACATGATGACAAACCATGTCCTTAATGTGTTTACGCTTCATTATATTAGTATAGATTTATTGTTAAAGCGTACGCACAACTAAAACTTAACTAACTGCAAATTGCACAAATGTTTAGTCTCCTTTAGTTCCTATAAGCTCATATGGTGGTGCGCACACTACTCGATTTTTAGTTACGCAACTAAACAATTGAAATGGTTGAGAAACAATCGACAACCACACAACGGTTGTGCGATAGTTTAGTCAAAGGTATACGCTTGCTCTTAATAATTTGTAAAAATATACCAATCGCCTAATTAAAGTCCCTAGCTCTTACCACCCTGTTCTTATAAGGATAGGATGGGAAGGGAAAGTGGATTTGACAGTGGAGGAGACGCATAGGAAGGGGAAATATCCTCTTAATGTGCTTTCTCCTACGTCGATTAAGGGTAGGCAATGCATCTGCATTTGTAGATGTCTATGAGCAGCGGCCGCTTCGCCATTTTAGCGGATTCAGGCGTCCGCTTGCTCGTTTGCCACCATATATTATAAAAAAAAATCGAATGACACCTCAATCATCGATATCAGTTTAGTTACGAGTATTTGGGCTGCAGGCAGTTGCAATGGAATTTGTAAGACATGAAAAGTATGAATATACAAACCAAGATACATAATAAAAACTTAAACTCTGTCTGGCTACATCAGTTGGGAAAAAAAATACTTTTATAACAACTTTATTCCTATTGGTGTAAGAATTGTTATAAGCAGTTGTTTATAAATATTTCTGTGCATAATGATAAACCGTCATTTCCACGAGCAACACGCTGCGGGACTCTGATTACGTTCGGTCGTTATTTTTACAGCGGTCGCTGAAGCACCAGTGGAAATTTGACTTAAGAAAAATCCAACCTGTGGTCATATGCTTGGTAAAAATTGTATTTAAACACTAATTATTCGTAACTAAATATGATAACAATAGAATATATTACAATAATGAGATCTAGCCGATTGCACTTTTGAACAGACTTATCTGAGTCATAAAGGGAACTGTAAAAAAAGTAGTACTGAAAAGTAGTATATGTACTCGTACTAAGTATCTTTGAACAATTTAAAAAGTGAATAACATTTCTGATACCGTTTAGGCTAGCAAATAAATGAAATGAATTGGCCCAGAGGTTGTTGAGTTATTTCAATACATACAAAAATACAAAGTTTTCCTCTTTATAATATTAGTATAGATAGATAGTGCATACCTTACAACATTATGTGTTACATGGAAGAGCGGGACTTCCTACCACAAGAACCCATAGGTCAAGTAAAAGGAAGCCTACATCTGAATAACTTGTATAATCTATTGTTATATCAATAAATTATTTTCATTTTCATTATAAAGACGAATTTGAATTTGTGGATTTTGCTACATATTGGAATAAGTCAAAAAATAATGGGCGGATTTCAAAAAATCTTTTACCATCAAAACTATGTTTTTAGTGAGTAACATGGGCTATACTTTAATTACTTTTAATTTCACGCGGACGAAGTCGCGGGCAACAGCTATCGATAATATTAATAAATAGTTCTTTGTGTCCAAGTTGTATAGAATTCGAAGCTCGACCTCAGATACTCGTAATACATGTGGGGTTGTGGCTCGATCAAATAAAATTAAACTTGTAGTTTATCGCAATTTTTAATATTTACACCCTTTTCCAAAACACATCTTCTTACATCGTCGTTTCTCTTTTTCTCTGACTCTAAACTAATTCAAACCAACGTCAAAATATGAAATTCGAAATCAATTAAAAAGAAAACATATTTAACCTCCCTATCCTACATACAAGTATTTAGAAAACTAAAAACGTCTTTGTTATTTAAATTAAAACTGCAAACTAAATCTAAGTATTTACTGTTCATTATCAAAGAGACGAACAAACTAAGATTCTGTAATGAATGGTAAATATGTTTAATGAAGTCAAGATAAGATACATATACTAACCAATAATATATTTTCTAACATTAATTAATTAATTACCAAACTCAGTTTATGTAATTATAAAGTTATTAATTAATGCTCTTACAATAGTCGTATAAATAACACTTAATTATCTTTTTATTCTTAGTTGTGTCACATATTTTGAACATATCGTAGTGTATTTGGAATTTAATTCAAAAGTAATATTGGTCTAGATCTAAATTAATTTAAATTGAAGTGTATAAAAAAATAATTAACAACATGGAAATTCGGAAAATATTAAACCAATCGTTTAAAACGGAATTAATTAAAAATGTGAGTATTTAATTATATTTTCTGTGTTAATGTTTTATCATGTGTAACTGAATCATACTAATATTATAAATGCGAAAGTTTAGATAGATGGATGGATGGATGGATGTTTGTTAGAATTTATAGACTAAATGGCTGAACGGATTTCAATCAAATTTGGTATGGATATAGAGGAAAGTTTGGAAGGACACATAGGCTACTCACTTTTTTTTTTTTTTAATTTCACGCGAACGGAGTCGCGGGCGAAAGCTAGTTTTGTTATAAATAAAGGTCAAAAGAGTTTCATGGCTTTAAACTTAGAGGTTTTATATCTTTGTTATATTTTACGATATAATAATTCAATTAAACTTCGACCAATAGTACATTTTTAGTGAGTAGTAATATATTTGAGGTATAATAATTAATAGAAAATGTTTTAATTACATTATTTGTGTTTTCACAGAGTTTGAGCCACCAGAATGTTTTTAAAAAAGCTAAAAGGATCAGAAGCGCATTTACTACGAATCAAATATTGTATCTAGAAAATGAATTTCTGAAGTCACCTTATGTCAGTGTCGTTAGCCGAAAAGAGATCGCAATCAAATTAAATATACCTGAGAGAGCTGTAAAAATATGGTTCCAAAATCGACGGATGAAAGAGAAGAAAGATGTTACCCATCGACCCATAACAGAACTCCATCATTATCATAAAACGGGACATAATGGTACAATTGTTAATGATCAATTAAGTAATGTGGAGACTTTGCAATCAAATAACAATCTATGTTCACATTCCGTTTTACCGCAAACTAAGTTAAAAACAAGTTTAAACGAGTCAACAATTAATAATTTCTTAAAGAAGAATCATAAACAAGTTACAAACACAACGAAGAGCTTTGAAAATAAGACGACAACGGATGACGTCATCGTAACACATAATTTTCAAAACAATACTATAACAAGCAGCAGTAACGAAGCTAAACAGAACGCAGAATTATCAATAGAGCTGCTAAAAAAGTGTAAAGACCATATTCACACTAATCCTATGAAAAAGGCAGTCAAAACAAAAACCCTACAAACAAAACATAACGATTTGAAAAAACGTAAATTAAATAGTCAAACTTTGGAGCGAAAAATCCAGAGTTCAGTTACAGGAACAGCGCCATCTATTGTGAAACAACAGCAAACGATTACACAAATTCCTTCAGGATACATTCCCTTATATCCTCAACAACATAATCAACAGTATTCTTTACCAGGAAACTTTTTATGGAAACCAATGGGCCCAACGGATATGTCAACTATAATGCCTATGTGTGACTTTGCTATTCTTCCTAACCCACACTCTATCTCCCATCCCCTCACACACTCACACATAAAATCAAATGATATACAAAAGAGTCAATGCTCATGTAATTGTCATATGAATCCGCAAACAAATACGATAGCTTTTTCACCTGAAAATCAACCACAATATGTAATAGCGGTACCTTTCCACAAACCACCTCTTCAGTTTAGCTCCCCCTTATAATAATTCCGTTTTAGTTTTGTTTTTAATTGTATAAATTGTAAATAAAAACAATGTTTTTCGTTTAGTATATTTTATTCAAAAATAGTTTAATACGACCGTTTTACATTATGTTTTCTTATTTTAAAATAGAAATTTAAGAAGATTAATAAATTATAAATTATATATTTTATTAAACTTTTACATGCATTTACATAATAACAAATATATGTAATTTTGGAAAATAAACTTTCTTATAAATAAACATTTGCTTTTTATTATATCCCGGATGCAAAAAATATACAGAATTTGACAGTAACAGATTTATAAAGATAAAATTAAATAGTTCAATAGTGATAACGAAATACACTTATTAAATAGAAAAATATGCCAAAAAGAAAACTAACAATTGTCAAAGAAAGAAACATGAAATTTTAAACAGATAAAACCTTTAAAGATATTTGAAACAAACTTATTAATATGTTACACGGTGTTAACAATTTAAAAAAAATAATACAAAATAGTTAAAAAAGAAACTTAGTTCTAAGAATATAAATTTGTAAATCTTATCATTTAGGTAGACATTTCAAACTTTATATTAATCTTTCATTTGTTTTATTATTTTTTTCTGGTAGTTCACTGGAAATAAAACGTATTAAAAACATGGTTATGACACCCCAAAAATTTAAAACTTTTAAAATTATTTAATTGTAATTTTATTATCAATTAAGTAACATATCGAGAAACACTTTAAAATATTTATGAAAACAGTAATCAAAAAACCTTATTCTATTTCATTATTATACTTCACTATTATTTTGAAAATTACGTAACAGAAAACAATGAATAATAAATGCATACTAGTTCAAGTTATTATTATTACCAACTTAATTAGAATTTGAAAAAAAATAACGTTAAGTAAAATTTTTAATAATTACTACAATAATATTTCAAAATAACTAGAGTTCATAAACGTGCTGTAAATAAACACATGAAAACTAACTAATTTAAAAATACAGCTCCAATATTAAAAATTTACGTTTTTTACTACAATGATTTAAGATTGGTGTTCATCATTTATTGGTATTTTGTTTATTATTAAATAAATTAATTAAAATCGATAAAATAATTTCTAATTAGTAAATAAGAAATATTTTTGCTCTGATGATTTTCAAAATGTTATTTCATTATGCATTTTTTTTAATAAAATTGAATTTCTAAGCCTACATAACTTGGAAAGATAATCTATATGTCAATATAACTATAACGTAACAATCCTTTACACAATAAATATGGAATATATAATTTTTAAATATATTACATCTGTAAATAACTTAAATCGAAACCATCACTGGACCAAGTTTGTGGAGAGCAATTTTGATAACATCCGTTATTTAATTCTTTATTGTAATTATTATCTGTATTTGAATATTGATAATTTTCAGTTGGATATGTAAAATTACCATAATAAAGAGTATGTACGTACGATGGATTAACAAAATTAGGTTCAGATATATATTGGTTGTTCTGTGGAACGTGATAAGAATTTATATCATCATTATTATAATTAACAAACGTACTTTGCGTATTTAATTCTGGACTACCTATTTGTGACTCAATTGACATAGAATCACTATATTGTTCGCTTGAATCGCTTGACTCTGAAGCTTCTCTTTTCTCTTTCATTCTTTTGTTTTGGAACCAAACCTTTAAACATTTCTCAGCAAGTCCCAGAACTTTAGACAGGTCTCGACGATGTTCACTATTCAGATATTTCGAGCTGGCGAATGTTTTCTCTAGAACTTTTAACTGCTCTGTTGTAAATGTTGTACGTTTCCTTTTGTTTTTCTGTATTTTCTTTCTTACATTCGATCCTGGAAATTATCAACTATAAATGATTAAGTTGATAATAATTAGACAGAAGTTTAAGATGCATAAAGGTATGTATTGAATAAATTATCATTTCTTAATAGTTCAATTGGTAATTAAATTTAAATGTTAAGTGCCCTGTAAAAAGAAACATGAGGAAATAACGTACCATTATTCTTGTGCTCTTGTCGATGAGGCAAAACTTCAATAAAAGGCTTGTTTTGCCAATGACAAATCTGAAAAGCAAACAACAAGGTACAGTTTGTAACGGGCTTCAGATATAATGTATGTATAGAATAATTAGGATTTAATGATTTACAAAATAAAAAATTAAATCTCCACTTTTGCAATGTTTAATTTCGCTATCGACGTTCAAATCAATGTATTCCTCTAAATAAATTCGCCTGGCCTAACTTGTTTTGTCGATTATGAATGCGTACCTAATTAGAAATTCATAATAATACAATATCCTACCTCATTCATACTGCTTAAAGCTGTTAAGGTTATCTCAAATTCGTCTTGCAACATAATTAGATGTAGAAACTTAATTAAATGTAAATGTTTTTTGTAATTAAACACTGAAACGACGAACTCAGACCGGTAACTATGGAATCCTTAGCAACAAATGGCGTTCGAAATACAAATGTTTGGAAAATACCCTATTGCGTGTTTTTTTTTACGTTAAATTTGAAAAGATCGACGGTAGTTGTTTACGGTATGAAGATAAAATATAATATGGATATGCCAAATTTAATATTATTTTTTAAAACGTAAATCAATCAATACTTATTTATAGTTAGTTACAGATTATATTTAATCTTATTAAACGAATATCGAGACTTTAACTATTAATTTAAAATTAACTTAAAGATACATGTGTTTAATTGTTTTTAAAATAAATACACATGAGAAAGGCAAGCCTGTCTGTGAACATGATTTGTAAACAGAGTAATTAGTAATCGTTTGTTAATTAGGAAAGAAATTAAAAAATAACTAAAAGAGGGGTTGTTTTACTTAATGAGTTTTTATTTTGATACAGGTATAAAAGGGTTAAACATTTTGCATTATTATCATTAGTATCCAGTGCACTTAGCAAACATGTTCCAATCACAACGCCAAGGGAACTCCGGTAATATGTCCACTAGTAGTTGTAGTACAAATTATACAAATTATGTGTTTAGTACAACATCAACAAGAATGCCACCGGGTTATAATGTAAGTTAATTAACTATAACTTTTTTATTTGATAAGGCTTATCCACATTATTCTTGTAGAACCCGGATATGTCGTATGTATCCGAACATGTTGGAGTATGTCATGTTTTTTTAAATCTAAGTTATAGGATAGTATAACATTTTCTCTCCGATAATTTAACAAACATTTAGTTACATAAAATGAAGCGCAAATTAACGATTATGAAATTTTAAAATTTGTAATTTTCATTATTTCTAGAATATTTCTTGATTGTGTACGGTTGAACACTTACGTCATAAGATGGCGCACATGCATATTTTTAAAATATTCGAGCGCCATCTGTAGTTAGAATACGCATCATCTCATTCACATCATCGAATTTCATTTTAATAGTATTTTTTCATAAAAGAATTTATTGAAATGTTTGCAACAATATCTCTTTAAAAATATACATCTCCAAATAAGTAAATATCAATGTACCAATTAATATACTAAAAGATTTGAACCATATATCCATTTATTTGATAAATATGTGTTAAGAATATTTTTACCGGTTTTCAGACAAATCCTATAAGAAATAATTCTCTGTGCTGTGTTGAACATCGGAAACTTGGCAGAAGATATCGTGAACCTGCAGTTTGTAAGTATTTATAATTATAACACTATTATGAAAATCAAATTTTTCTCCTATATAACATGTTACTTCTAAATTATCTTCCAGACCGACGTCCAGAAAAGTTTATAACGAAGTTTAAACGACGCCCTGCATTCTCTACGCAACAAATTTTAGCGTTAGAGAAGATATTTCATAAGAAACCACATGTTAACAGGCAAGAGAGACGAATATTAACGGAGAGGTTAAATGTTAACGAAAAAGTTATAAAACTATGGTTTAAAAACCGTCGTCAAATATCTGGTCTAAGAAATAGAACACGAGTAATTTCCGATTCCTCAGAAGAAGAAACCGAAAATCATTTTAATCTAGATTACGTTCAATCCAGAATAAATAAACCTGACGAATTTGGATACGTCACTTTGGATGACAGAGCTATGAAGGAATTGATAACTGTCATTGACTTGCTTTTGACAGATGTAGATTTAGATGGGGCGTCTAAGGAATTAAAGAATAAAAGTTCTTTAAACTACGAACCAATATCCCCAGTAAGCATTCACGAAAATTCAGATGAAAATATGTGTTTTCCGAAATGGGAACTTTACGAACCCGAGGAATCTTTAAGGCGCTTATTCGACGTTCAAGCATTAATAACTAAATAATTATGTTGGAGGTAAATATAAAAAAAAAACAAAAATCAAATGCAATTTAACGTTTGAGAAATATTATTTAATGTATTGTTTAAAATAATTTTATTTTGTATTAGTATAATGTAATTTATTTATTTTTATGTTTGTAATTTAGGTACAATCTAGTATTTAATAAGTTATTTTAATAAGGCTTTGAAATGAAAGAAACAATGAACAATTATAATTTATTCAACATTAAGGTATATCAAAAACTATAAAGGTAAATGTTAAGTAAAAAGTACAAAAATAAGTAGTTATACATTTGTTAAAAAATCAAGTTTTCTTATTTACATTAATATTTTATTTAAACTATGTAATAAATTTAAAACCATATCGTACAATGAGGTAGAAAGATTGTTAGGCAAAGAAATGGTACCACGCCTATAGCAACTTTAACACGAAATTGTAAGTCTTTTCATCTAGAGGCCAAACTTCTTAAATAATGCTGTTCTCGGGTACATTGTCTCCTATGAAATGGTTTTGATACAAGATCGTGAATCGAAGTAATCTTATTTCGATTCTTAAGATAAATAAGATTACTTCGATTGATTAGTGTTAATTAAAATCCCGAAAAATAAATCTTACAAAGTGATATAAGATGAGAATTTGCTGTTGCTTGTTGTGTTAGGGTTTTGACTGTTAGCATCAGAAGTTGCCAAGTATGAAAAGTAAGCGTCCTGTGAGAACGGTGCGTTAGCAGTTCTCGATTGCATATTTTCTTCGTAAGTTGGGTTTACTGTCGTCGGTATAGGTGCATTGAAAGTATACGCGTCTGTAGTACCCGGATGCATCGCAACACCGCTGGTTAACGCATTGTAATACGCCGAACCAGACGGATACCTTGTCATATCTTCGCTTAACTTCAAGTTAACTCCGTTCGGCACGTAACTATCCGACGGTAGTGATAGTGCATTCGAATTCGGTTGCAGTGAATCATCGTTCGTGTAACGATAAACCTCAGACATCGGTGAGTAAGCCGGCCTACTTGCGCCTGCGCAGTAGTACGATGTATACGATAGGTTCGGCGTATACGATGGCAACTCGATAGTACTCTGCGGACCTTTGATTACAGTTTTGAGACTGTTTATAGATGGATATTCTGAGGATCTTGATGTATCATTTGGGGCCACATATTTATGGGTCGCATGACTATCGCTAAGTAGTCTTCTATGTCGATCGTGTCCTCCGCAACTTCTTCCATGACTTAACTTGTGATCTTGGCTCGGTGACATTTCTTTAGAACTTGATGGGCTGTTATCGTCTACGGATGAAGATGGTTTGTTATGCTTGTTGTCTTTTTTATATTTCATCCTTCTGTTTTGAAACCATATTTTTATTTGACGCTCCGAGAGTTGGAGGTAATTCGCGAGTTCGATTCGTCTCGGCCGGCAGAGGTAGCGGTTTTGATGGAACTCATTCTCTAATTCGACTAACTGTGAACTTGTGTAAGCTGTGCGGGCTCGTTTAGTAAATACTTTTTGGTAAGATGTAGCTTCTGAAGACATACCTGAAAATTAATAATGTATACTGCATTGGTTATCGAATAGACGTACACTGAGAGACTTAAGCCTCTCTGGAATCCGACATAATTATTTGGTAAAATAAAATTGTACTAAAAAATATACTAAAATAAAGGCAACAAAAGAAAATAATTCCAGTCTCACAAAAGAAAGAAGTTAGACTGTATATATCTGTAAAATCAAGCATTGATATCACATTCTCAAAAATGGAGAGCTTTCTAATCAGTTACAAAAAATTTTTACATACCGGTTGATAATGATGACGTACCACTTATAGCAGGATTATTTAACGATGAAGCTGTTTTGTTCCAACTCTGTAATAACGCATAACTTTGTTAAAAATTCTGATGTAAAAAATGCGACCAACTACGATAACGTTTTAGAACGAAATAAGGTGTCAAATAATATAGGCTATAATCACTACTATCAGTGACCAAATTAAAAGGTCATTAAAAATCCGGTTATTTTGTGGTAAATCACAGTTTTGACAATATTTCTTCATGATGAATTTGTCATTTGTTTCTATTCTGTATTCGGATAACATTAAGGTACATTTTTGTTCACTTATATTTACCTGGTTCGGAAAACTTGATTCATTTATGTCACTTGTAGTATCTTTAACAACATCATTGTCTAAACCGCTGGTATGGTGACATCGTAGAGCTTCATTAGGTAAATAGTTTCTGTCGTACGTAACTTGGCTTTCAATTTGTACATTAGGAGCTAAGAACAAGTTATCATTTTTGTTCATACAATCGTCGGAATTGACTTCTTCAGTTCCTGAGCCATAATTGTTATGTGAACTGTTGCTTATATTTTCGTAGTTCGGTATTTGATATTCATATCTCTGCTCCATATCTTCCTGTGAGTTAGCAGCATTATATGATTGATGCAAACCAAGAATATCGTGGATACTAAAACCAGTTGAGTCTCGAGAGTTGTAATCTTGAGAGAATGTGTTGGAGATTACGTTTAATACTTCAGTCTTGCAATCTGGGAAGATATTCTCTGGGGCACCGTAGTTAGCTCCATCGCCTAAGATATCTTCAACTCCATGTGATGTGAGACCTCCTTTGAAGGCTTTTTGAGGGTCTTCTATTTCTGCGTTGGAATTGTATTGTGCTGGGATAGTTGATGAGAAATCGGATGAAGTGGAATCTCTCGACTCTTCTGAGTGCAAGCTGGATGGTGAAGAAGTACACGAAGACATTTTTAATTTTGAAATATGGTATTCACTTTTAGTCACTTTGATAATTGTATCATTTATGCACACACGTATTGCACTGAGGCGACCGTGTCGTAAAACTTTTGTTTACTAAATGCATTTTGTTCACCTGAATGTCGTTAATTTGGTAATGACTGTATACGTTAGTGTGCCGCATACTGTCAGTGCTGTTTTGTCTGTGTGCGGCTGATAAGTCGGACATACCGGGTCCCCGATAATAAACGAACGCAAGATAAAACTTTAAAATATATCTCCAATAGCTAAAAGGCTTGTCACATCTAATACAAAAGTAGAAATATGGGACTTTGTTAGTAATAGGAGCCATCGTAATCGTTCGTGACTTGATTTTAAAGCAAAATAAATTCCATGTATCAATAGACAGATTCCATGAAATGTCTACGGAGTACGAAAAATGATTTAGAATCTTCCTAATTTATGTATAATGATTTCACAATTTACACAAATTTACTTGTATGATGATAGACTTAGGTTTATATAAAAATAAGTTTTCTTGCCCGATATTTGAATTTAGGTATGTCGATTGACGGTTAGATATTTTTTTCCATTTCGACAACTTGGTGATTTAAAATATGAATAAAAGTACTACAGTCTTTAGCATTGAGGTTGATATTTTATATCTAGGTAGCGATATAACGAAACCACAATAATTGACGTAGACAATGCGAAGGTAATGTAGGTCCCTTCATACCTACACGCCGACCTGATACTAAACTCGTTAAGATAATATTTAATCTTATAAAACTACGACACTAGAATTTATTGTGGTTTTAATAATACTGTTTAACTAATCAAATACAAAACTTAAGGTGGGTTTCCATGAATACAAAGAGAATTAAAATGATGACAATATGTACATATGTGCAGTGAACACCAAAACTTTTTAAAGCCGGCAACACACCTCCAGTTTTAAATCCACAGCCAGACTGTTCAGTTTAACTATGCAGTTAGAGATGATGTGTGTAGCCTGCTTAAACCCGACATATGTTGTATGGAAAGGATTTTTTATTGAATGAATGAATAAATTTTTGATTAACTTTTTATTAGTATATGTTTTGGGTTTGAATTTGTGTATAATAGCCGTCAGTCGGGTGCAGTCGGGTACAGCTGATGCATCCGCGGCATTGTCGTGTTTTGATTAATGCCTTTGCGCCGTGAGACCTCGATACGTTTGCGGCTTATTTTTATTACAATGTTACACGTCTAATAATTTCGAATTAACTGTGGAACAATGTTATTTTCTATTTGACTAAATCTAATTGGTATTTATACAAGAATCTTTAAGAAACCAAAAATTTATGAATAAATTTGAGACACAAGATATTGTAAATGGATATAAAAAATGTTTCGCTAGACTTGAAGTCAAGACTGTCACTAGCTACGTTCAGTAACCGCTGAACTTAAAGACAACTAACTCTAAGATTGAAGAATATCAACATAGTTATAGAAACTGAATTGTTTTTGTGTTAAAGTTCTTTGCAGAAACAGAATTGAATATGTCAGCAGAATTCATTTGAAAGAATATCGCAACCGTTACGTCAATAAATTTTAACTTCTTTTGTACAAAAGCAAACTAGTCGTACCAAAGTCCCTAAGCTCATAACGTCAAAGCGATGATATATTACGATTTACTCAAAGGGGACCCTTTTTTGTTCTCAGCGTAATGGTTTCACGTTAATCGACACCAGGTGAGATGGTGCTATATGTTGTTTGATGTGTGAGAAAGAGATGTAAGATAAAATGCATCTGTTCCCACCAACAGGGAAAAGTGGTTCAGATATAGTACTGGAGATGGTCTACCGTCAGCAGTTTGTTGTTAGCGGCGTCATGGTGATGTTTGTTGTTCATAATAGTGTATTAATACAAAGTTAATATTTTTAAATTCATAGTGTTTTTAAATAAAAATATAGTATCAACACACGAAATAAGAAGTGTGACAAATCTACAAAACGGATTTATCAACTTGCGAAAATTTCGTAAAAATTTAAGTTTAAAGGTAAATATTTTATTATTATTTAGATTAGTACGCCATCTTAGAGATATGTACAACAAGTTTGCAGAATTTTAGACAGACAATATTCAAATACCTTCGAAGCCTTACATTGCTTGGTGATTTCAAAATTCGCCACAAGATGGCACTAGTTATTTTTTTATAACTTAATTTCAAATTCAAGTATAATAATATTAATAGTTGATTATTTACAGTTTTTAAACTTTTAAGCAATAAGTACAACTGTTAAGAATTCAAAAATTTAATGATTGCTTTTAAATAACTAACGCCATCTGTGAGAAAAGTTAGGAAACGTTAAAGCTGAAACTGAATCTAACATATACGACGATGAGGTTTAGCTACTTTCCTTGTAAAATCAATATTTTCAACGTCTCGCCAACAACGTTTTATGAATGTAAGTACTTAATATTTTGTGAAGACTGAAAGCAAATTATAGTAATTGGATGGATATTAACTGAAGGTTATTTAGAAGAAGGGTATTTAAAATACCTTGGTGGACATTTATGAAAAAAAAAACTCCTAACTGGTATAACTGATATCTAAAACAAGTAAATGATGATATCATTTTGTATTAATTTGTGTGTATTTGACGAGATACTTATATATTTTGGTAATTCACATTATAAAAGACTAGCTTGAGGCTTTGTCTATTGACTATTACTGATAACGAAGGTTGTTAACAGTGAAAGAATTTTTAAAATCAGCCCTAATTATTTCAATACAAATAAAAATAAAATTCTTTATAAATAACAGGAAACCTATTTATTCCAAAACTTTTTAGCATTTTATATTTAAATTTACATTGAAAGCATCTCTACATTAAGGTTATATAAAAAGCTTTTTTGCTCCAGCAAAAGTAAAACCACAAAAGCTTCGAGCGAGCAAAAACTGTGAATAATAACGTAAAGGCTGTACGTCGGGAAATGTAAAAGGAATTAATTTCCGAGTAACAAATTTGCAGCATTTAAATTGTTCGCGTGTAGTTTGGTGCCAAAATCTG